TATATGTGTATATATATGTATATGTGTATATATATGTATATGTATATGTATATATGAATATATGTATATGTATATGTGTATATATATATACTGTATATATACTGTATATATATATATACTGTGTATATATATACTGTATAGACACCTAAAAGCTAAATGAATCAGACCTGATGACTGAATGAGCTGATAATAATAATGCTGACTTGTTGTTTCTCAGGATGGAGGTCCAGAGTGTGTCCCGTCTGAAGACTTTGAGTGTGAGGAGGTGAGGAGCTTTGATTTCACACCTCACTGTGTTTAGAATGTAGAAACTGATGATGGAAATAACAGCTTTCAGCTTTGTTGGTATTTTAGTTTCCCAGCAAACACTTGATGGATGACGATGTAAACCTTTTTTATGTTTGTATTAATGTTGCTTTAAATCTGGTCCTGTGGATCAGCATGTTATCCAGGCTTTTGTCTGTATCCAGGAGATCAGGTTCAGGTCTTGATATCAGGTTCAGGTCTTGATATCAGGTTCAGGTCTTGATATCAGGTTCAGGTCTTGAGATCAGGTTCAGGTCTTGAGATCAGGTGGTTCAGGTCTTGAGATCAGGTGGTTCAGGTCTTGAGATCAGGTTCAGGTATTGATATCAGGTTCAAGTCTTGAACACTATGATGATGAAATGCAGCTTTCAGCTCCACAAATATCAATTATTTCTCAACAAACTGTTCTCACTCGCTCTGAAGTTCACAATGCGGACGTCTTTACTCCATCTGAAGGATCATCAAGTAGAACGTCCAGATTCTAATCTGGCTTCAGATACTGGACTCCATACAGAACCTGTGAGATCTGGATCCAGTCGCTGACCAAGGTTCTACTCAGAACAGAAGATAATGAAATGAGAGCAGAATCAGGACGATACCTCGTTAATAATCAACATTCATGAGACGGACTTTAAATGAATTCATCTCATATTTAATGTTAGTTTTGCTCAACATCAATTGTTTGCTGGTGACGTCTTATATTGAATCAGTTTGATGTTATGACCGAGTTTTAGAGACACAATCAAAAGAGAATAGTAAAGTCAGAACTTTACAAGAAATAAATATGCTTTTTGTTGGAAAAACTAGACTTTGTGTTTAGAAATAAATCTCTCCATGTTGACTTCAACTCACCTGATAAAGAAAAGGTGAATAATGATGTTATGAGATGTGAAGGCATGCGATCCAATCAACCAATGAGCATCAAGTGGGACTCATATATTCATATTTATACTCTCTCATAATGTGTGGAGTTAATTCTTCACATTTTAGAATTCAGTTGCCCTAAAACTCCATAACTGCTCTCCCCCCTCCCCCCCTCCCCCAGGCTGTGCCGGCTCAGGGGTCAGTTGACTCTACAGGACCAAAGAGCAGCAGCCGGCGATCAGCTCCTCTTCTCCTCTCTGTGACTGTGTCCGTCCTGGTTCTACTTTCATAAACATGGACTCTCACACACACACACACTCACTCACTCTCTCTCACACACACTCACTCACTCACTCACTCACTCTCACACACACACACACACATACATGTCAAGACCCAGAGAGTCATGTGACTCGTCCGCTACGAGGAAATGTCAACCAGCAGACGTCCAAACATCAACAACAGGCTTTGGAGGACGGAACGTGTTCTGGAGGACATTCTCACAACCCACACACCCACCCACCCCCCCTCCACCCACACACACACACACACACACACACACACACAGAAAGAAACTGTATTTTGTGAGAGAGAAGTAACAAAGGCTGAGAAACCGTCTTGAGGTTTTTGATTGTGCAGCTCTGACTCTGACTCCATCCAGTGTTTCTGGATCTGAGACAGCTGGACTGAAAACACAGGAACACACTCACACACACACACACACACACACACACACACACACACTCGGACAACAAGTGTTCAAATTCCAGATTTCTAGTCTGGACAGAAGGGACGGATCCTTCCACGGTGTTTGTCAGCTCCATGTATCCTCTGGACCTCTGAGGCAACAAATCTATACTTCATACACACACACACACACACCCCTCCCCTTAGACCTCGTTAGCAGGTAAACAGGGTCCCCTCACAAACCAGTGGGCTTTATCTTCAGTTTGTTGTTGACATTCTGTACAAACTTCATTTAATGTGGAATATGAAAAAAAGTCCATGCAATGAGATCTCAATGCGACAGTGTGTATTTCACATATAAGTGTGTAGTTAAGTGTGTGTGTGTGTGTGTGTGTGTGTGTGTGTGTGTGTGTGTGTGTGTGGGTGTGTGAAGAAAAGCTGGAAGGGTTCAAATCTTAAAAGCAACTGAAAACCAAAGTGTGAAGTTGTTTCCCTACTGAACAGTTCATGTTGACATTGAAATCTTTTACCTTTGGAAAGCATTGTCATTTGATCTACGCTTTAATAAAAGCCATAGAAAGTATCCATGGAAGCAGAGATTGAGACATTGAGGCACATTAGTAGTTTTAAAGACGTCTCGTGAGGGAGTCGGTGGTCGTGAGTCTGAATGTTTGACCTCATGGTGAATCGTGTTTGTGTCTCACTTCATTTTGTGCAGGTGAAGAGACGGAAACCTTTAATGTAACTGAATAAAGATTCAATTTAGATGTAATGAGCTGAAATACATTTGGTTTAGTGGTTCATCAATTATCAGTCATGGGGGGGGGGGCAGATTAACCTGGTTATAGTTGAACCTTTTCTCTCTAAAGTCATAATTTAACTCTAGTTACAGTCCTGACTTCAGTACATTTCACACTTAGGTTTTCATCGCTTTTAACATTTAAATAATGATGTTCTTTTTTTGCTGTGTGTGTGTGTGTGTGTGTGTGTGTACTTTACCTCCCGTCACTCTGTGGGGTATCTCTTATGTGTCACAGACCAGGATGTGGACTATGAGCGAAGGCCTTACTTTGCTGTTCTTTCTTAGATACTTGAAAGAGATGATTATTGATTATTGGCCTGCTAGCGGTCCAGAGAAGATATTACAAAGCCCAACACTTGAAACACTAAAAACTAGTCTGAGTATTCATGGTCCCCAGAGGATTCTGTGGATCCCCTGAGCGTCTCATAACACCACCATCAGGTCAACAGCCTGCTCAGTGAGACCCGAGCCGGCTGCTCCACACATGTAAACGCAAATACAAGTTAGATTTATATGTTTGTTGAAAGAATATTTAAATCCTGTCTGGTCTGACAACCTAACTGCAGGTTTGGTTAATCATGAGATTGGATTCATTGACATTTAAAGAACGTTTGCTAAATTAAAACCATATAGAAATTCTTTTTAATTCAGAATCGCTTCATAAATAACAGAAACAAGCTATGTTCAGTAAAATGTAATAAAAACAAAGTGAGCAGTTGTTAAAGTAATGAAGAATAAAAAGGGCCCAACAATGGATCCCTGTGGGACACCACGAGTACCTCAATTGGCAGCAGATGGATTTACATTTAAAAGTCTTTCTGACTTCATTCATCATCATTTAATGTGAGAACTCAATAAGCTAAACTCCCTCAGGACAAACTTGACATCTTAGACCTGAACTCAAAGCTAAACTATCATATATTCCTCTGAGCATTGGAGGATAGTGGGTCCACTAGCAGGACTTTAAGCTTTGTGATCATGTGGAGGGAAAAAGAAATGAGGAAAAAACATGAAAGTGAGATTGTATATTTGCTGATATATTTGTAAAAATGTAACAGAGCTGCAGCAGTGTGACTGAAATATGTCTGGAGATTTAAATAAAAGTAACATCTGTACGAACAGCTGTTGGCTTTTCTGTGTGTGCATTTTCTCTGCTAGCATCACGTGCCTGCTAACAGTGCTACAGGCTACAACATTAAAACATACACTCTGATAAGCCAACATTGCTACCACATTCAGAGTGGAGGAAAGCAAATGAGCGACGTCCTTAGAGTGATACAGTCCCACACTGAAGTGCACTAAAGAACATGAACAGAAAACATACAAAGAAAGAGCACACATACTATTTAACACTTATTGAGCATTAAACTGACAAACTATTTCTGCAGTCCTGATGTCTTACACTGTGAGCCCATCTTTAACTTCAGGACATCACAGTGTTTCTTTCTTTTTCATTTTCTTAGTGGAAGAAGTACTCAGATCTATTACTTCAGTGACGTTTTAATACCACAGAGTAGAAATATTATGTTGCAAGTCATAGTATAGCATGTCGAAAAAAGTCATAGTATAGCATGTCGAAAAAAGTCATATTATAGCATGTCGAAAAAAGTCATATTATAGCATGTCGAAAAAAGTCATATTATAGCATGTCGAAAAAAGTCATATTATAGCATGTTGAAAAAAGTCATAGTATAGCATGTCGAAAAAGTCATATTATAGCACGTCGAAAAAAGTCATAATATAGCATGTCGAAAAAGTCATATTATAGCATGTCGAAAAAAGTCATAGTATAGCATGTCGAAAAAGTCATATTATAGCATGTCGAAAAAAGTCATATTATAGCATGTCGAAAAAAGTCATAGTATAGCATGTCCAAAAAAGTCATAGTATAGCATGTCCAAAAAAGTCATATTATCCAGTTTGTTGTACAGAGTCTAACAGTGTTAAATGTCAGCTGTGCTCTTGGCGACAGACTTCCTGCTCCACCTCATTTGAATCAGGACTGGGAGTCCTGGAGCCACCAGATGAGGTCTGTGAGAGCGGCGAGGCTGCAGGAGGAAGATGTTCTTCAGGTAACGAGAGTCGACAAACGGCCTCCAAACAAATGATGAAGTTTAAATTTGTGTGAAGAGAGAATAAAGACCTGAGCCTGACTCACGAGGGACCCTCACACATGGTAGCGTGTGTGTGTGACGACAACACAGAGGACTGAGGACAATGTCTCTGTCCTCACTCATTACTGTATTTCATGATTGTTTGAGCACGATGTTGGTTCTCCTTTTGTCTGAACACTACACAGAAACACAGAAACACAAGAACACAGAAACACAGAAACACACAATAACTTCATCATTCACAATTCATATAAAACACTCATAATTCATCATCATTCATAAAAACAGTTTCTGTCATTGATATGTGATTCAGTTTGAACAGCTGCTCAACGAGAAACACTTTAACATTTCTACTTTAATAATGATGATTTTACAGTTCCTACTGTACACTAAAAAATATATTAATACACACAAATACTGTATATATTTCTCAGCCTCATGGATAAAAAATAGCAGCTGGCTTCATGATGTCACTTCTCACGATGAACTTCTAGCTAGTGAGCTAACCGATGATGATGATGATGATGATGATGGTGATGAAGGTTATAGCCGAGCTCTTCCTGCTTCATGTACGTCATCATTTATTCTGTTTTGTTTTAATACTTTAAACTGTCAATGAGCATAAAAACAACAAAAACAGTGAAAGCTAAAATAAGAGAGATTTGTTTTACAGACACAAGCTTCATGAAACACGTCGCCACTTTAAGATCATATTCAAAATCATATTCAAAATGTATGTGTGTGTGCGTGTGTGTATGTGTGTGAGTGCGTATGTGTGTGTGTGTGTGTGTGTGCGTGTGTGTGTGTGCGTATGTGTGTGCGTGTGTGTGTGTATGTGTGTGTGTGTGTGTGTGTATGTGTGTGTGTGTGCGTGTGTGTGTGTGTGTGTGTGAGGCCTCTGTTACGGTATGTATGTAAACCACAAACAAGCCACAAATCTAGGTGTAGTTCTGGATCCAGACCTCAACCTGAACAGCCTCATCAAGACAATTACATAATCAGCCTACTATCACCTGAAGAATATATCAAGGATTAGAGGACTTATGTCTCAACAGGTAAAACTTGTCCATGCATTCATCTTCAGCAGACTGGACTACTGTAACGGTGTGTTTACAGGCCAAAACACATCTCTGATCTGCTGCTACCTTATGAACCATCCCGACCCCTTAGGTCGTCTGGGACCGGTCTACTTCCTGTTCCCAGAGTCAGAACTAAACATGGAGAAGCAGTGTTCAGTTGTTCTGCTCCACATATCTGGAACAAAGTCCAGAAAGCTGCAGGTCTGCTGAGACCCTCAGCTCCTTTAAATCAAGACTGAAGACTTTTCTGTTTGCTGCCTTTAATTGAACCACATTCAAGGTTATTAATCAATTTCCTGCATTTCTGCATTTTACTACTGTATTTTATTTCTTACACTGCTTTTTAGTGTTGTAATGACTGTTTTTCATGTTTCAATGAATGTTTTGCCTTATGTTTTGATGCTGTTAATGGTTTTATGTGAAGCACTTTGAATTGCCTTGTTGTTGAAATGTGCTATACAAATAAACCTGCCTTGCCTAATGTCTATGACTAAAGGGACACTATGTCTGCCTGTCACCATAGTAACAGGAGTGGGGGGTGTAATTATAACAGCAGAGAGAGGAAGAAGAGGAGGAGGAGGAGGACCAGACAGGAGCTCTGGAAGGAAGACTTTATTAAAAGGAGGACATTTAAAGGAGGTTAAGTTTGTCCATTTGTCTGTAGAGTCCTCTGTCTTCTGCACAGGCTGAGCTGTCAATCAAACACTAGAATGTAAATGTTCTAAAGGACTGAACACTTCCGGTATAAATACTGAACACTTCCTGTATAAAGAATGAACACTTCCTGTATAAAGAATGAACACTTCTTGTTTAAAGACTGAACACTTCCTGTATGAAGAATGAACACTTCCTGTATAAAGACTGAACACTTCCTGTATAAAGAATGAACACATACTGTATAAAGAATGAACACTTCCTGTGTAAAGACTGAACACTTCCTGTATGAAGATTGAACACTTCCTGTATGAAGAATGAACACTTCCTTTATAAAGACTGAACACTTCCTGTAAAAAGACTGAACACATCCTGTATAAAGACTGAACACTAGCTTAGTTATGTTGATTTAGCTTAGGTAGATATATTGTTGATTTAGCTTAGACAGTTATGTTGATTTAGCTTAGGTAGATATATTGTTGATTTAGCTTAGATAGATATGTTGATTTAGCTTAGTTATGTTGATTTAGCTTAGGTAGATATATTGTTGATTTAGCTTAGATAGATATGTTGATTTAGCTTAGACAGTTATGTTGATTTAGCTTAGATAGTTATGTTGATTTAGCTTAGTTATGTTGATTTAGCTTAGATAGTTATGTTGATTTAGCTTAGTTATGTTGATTTAGCTTAGGTAGATATATTGTTGATTTAGCTTAGATAGTTATGTTGATTTAGCTTAGATAGTTATGTTGATTTAGCTTAGGTAGATATATTGTTGATTTAGCTTAGATAGTTATGTTGATTTAGCTTAGACAGTTATGTTGATTTAGCTTAGATAGATATATTGTTGATTTAGCTTCGATAGTTATGTTGATTTAGCTTAGTTATGTTGATTTGGCTTAGACAGTTATGTTGATTTAGTTTAGACAGTTATGTTGATTTAGCTTAGGTAGATATATTGTTGATTTAGCTTAGACAGTTATGTTGATTTAGCATAGGTAGATATATTGTTGATTTAGCTTAGATAGATATGTTGATTTAGCTTAGATAGTTATGTTGATTTAGCTTCGATATTTATGTTGATTTAGCTTCGATATTTATGTTGATTTAGCTTAGATAGTTATGTTGATTTAGCTGATTTCACCTCCATGATTCTGCAACAACACTGAAAGAAAAGACGGGTTTTGAAACTCTGTGTCTAATTTGACAACTTAACTGGAGATTTTTATTACTACTTTATAATATTTAGGACAGGCAGACGGATGGATAGACAGACAGATGGACAGACAGACAGATAGAGAGAGAGACACACAGACACACAGACAGACATAAATCTACTAACTACTACCAGCAGGCCGTATAAAGAATGTGAACCAGCAGCAGCTGTGACAAAGTGAAGCGTGTTTCATGTTGACGGTGTGACATGTTCGTGTTCCGGCTGTTTATATATTTGGAAGATAAATCCAGAACCTCCTCCAGGAGCTGTTTTAATCCTGGAAGCTGCTGTCTTTGCTTTCTGATACTGAAGAAGAAGAAGAAGCTCTCAGTGTGTGTTGTGTTTCTCATCAATCAGAGCTGTGAGGACCAAACAATCCATTCTGTCTGTCTGTCGATATACAGACATGTCTTCTGTCTGTCTGTCGATATAAAGACTCTCTCTGCTGACATCATCAGTATTGTGGGATGAGGCTGCACTTTCCCTCCTTTGTTCTTCTTTTGTTCTCTTCTGCTGCTTCAGGACAATAAACCTCTCTGTGTTGTTTAAAGGGGACATTTTCTACAGAGGAATCACATCGTGTCTTTAGACATTCAGCTTGGAGGACAGGTGTTTAATGGACACTAAATCTGTTGGAGACAGCTGATAGTATCCTCAGTCGTCATTAAACAGATGTTGTCCTCCAGATGTTTGTCCAGACTGAAGATGATGAACACTGAAGGAAACTGTTCAACTTTTTATTATGTTTTTAGCAGCAGAGAAGAGAGAAGGAGCTTCACACATACATCTGTATATATAATAATCATAAAGCACATAAAGGATTCATGTCAGCTCTATGATTAATGTCATCATCATCATTTTGCATTTTTGCATTGTTCCAATAAAAAATTGTAAAAACTCAAAAATCTATTAGTGGGTTTATTTGATTGTTTTCCTATCAATAATCCAATAGTTAAAGTTATTTTATAAAAGTATCGTCATCTTCAGATTAAATTGTTCATTAGTGTCATTTAATCAGGTCTAAATCTTTGACTAGAAACATGTGATTATTTGCTTCCTG